GAAAATTGCAGTATCTCTGTATACAATTTTGGTTATATTCGACTCATATTTATTCCCAGTATGGGTTAACCTCCTAACTATATGCAGTACAGTGTGATGGAGAGGGTAGGTCTGCTCCGCTCTTCTCACAATAATATACTATATTTAACTTTTATAGAATAAAAAGGGCTCAATTTAAGGCCTGACGTTACAGGGTAGCTTAGGGGCCCTGTCAGAGGACGTTGTTTTACATGGAGTTATCTAAGGTTAGACAGAGTGGCAACAATGGTAGAGTCATGGGAGGCTGTCACTAAATGTCACAAGATAGCTGTATTTCACAGTTTGTCTCCCAAATGTCACCATATTCCCTTTATAGTGCACTACTTTTGACCAGGGCCTCTGTAGTGCACTGCATGGGGAATAGGGTACCATTTGGGACAAAGCCTACACATCCCACGCAATTGGTAATTGCATTTTTATTTATAAGTGTTAGGCTTTTGGTAGCCATTGTGCTTTACAGACATATTGGAATAAATTAAATGAATTAAATGATTATTTGATTTTTTACTGTTTAAATGTGTATCTCAGGGATAAGGGAAAACATTTGAGTCAGCCTTGAGTATGTACAGTAAAGTGATTATTACCAAACTGAATAAAACATGTGATTAAGCAAGGGTGGTTCATTGCCTGCATATACAGTACCAGTCAAAAGTTTGGACACACCTACTCATTCAAGGTTCTTTCTTTCTTTTTACTATTTTTTACATTGTAGAATAATAGTGAAGACATCAACACTATGAAATAACAACATCAAAACTATGAAATAACACATATGGTACATATGGAACCTCCCCGAGTGGCGCAGTGGTCTAAGGCACTGCATCGCAGTGCTAGCTGTGCCACTAGAGATCCTGGTGTGAATCCAGGCTCTGTCGTAGCCGGCCGCGACCGGTAGACCCCATGGGGCGGTGCATAATTGGCCCAGTGTCGTCCAGGGTAGGGGAGGGAATGGCCGGCAGGGATGTAGCTCAGTTGGTAGAGCATGGCGTTTGCAACGCCAGGGTTGTGGGCTCGATTCCCACGGGGGGGCAGTATGAAAAATACAAAATTTGTAAAAAAATTATGTATGCACTCATAATGTAAGTCGCTCTGGATAAGCGCGTCTGCTAAATGACAAAAAAAAATGTAGTAACCAAAAAAGTGTTAAACAAGTCAAAATATATTTTATATTTGAGATTCTTCAAATAGCCACCCTTTGCCTTGATGACAGCTTTGCACACTCTTGGCATTCTCTCAACCAGCTTCACCTGGAATGCAAGTATTTCATAGTTTTGATGTCTTCACTATTATTCTACAATGTAAATAAAGAAAATTCATGAATGAGTAGGTGTTCTAAAACTTTTGACTGGTACTGTACATAGAACACTATATTATATTTAATTTCTGCTATAAAGGATGCAGTGCTAAACACACACACACAAAGCGCCCCACCCTTGGCCTGAATACCATCACCTCACACACACAGGCCTGTCGTGGCTGCTTTGTTAACAAGGGAGGGTGGTTTGCTGTTGGGGGTTGGGGACTTTTCTGGGGGAATCCTTAGCTCGCAAGCCCCCACAATACTCCCTGGCTAGTCATGTTCCTGGGCTGACCCCCTCCCCCTTATCCACCATCCCTCCTGTTTAGCACTGTCGGTACCGATGGAGGGAGAGAGGGAGAAAAAACTGCAGATGGCGAAACGCTCTGTGAGGGCATCTAGGCAGTCACTGCGAAGCCCTGTATGAAATGATGTGGAAGTGTGTGTGTGTAAATGTTTATTTGTGTGTGCCAGTATGTGTGTGAATGTGTTTGTGTGAATGTGTTTGTGTATGAGCGCATGTGTAAGTGCGTGCAAAATTATATGCCATTGTTTTTTGTTAATAATAATTTATAAACAAAAGCCAAACAAACTCACAGTAAGCTTATTACTGTTTCCTGGTTATTCTCCAGTCTGTGCTCGTATGTACTCACAAGTTGCCATAGCAACCAGCCCCAGCTATTGTTCAATAGGAAAGACTAACAAATGGAATAAATAAAAACAGCACCTCTGTAACATCAGCCTCTCCCTCTATTCATCGTCGCGCACAAAACGTGATGGTTTATTGAAAACCACAATGTTCATGTTGAAAATCGCTATATTTAATAACCATTAACCCCTAAGACGCTGTGAAATATATTATTCTCAAATCACTGTCCTACTAATTTCAGAATTCATAATTTTCAATATTTCACATTATTTGTACAGTGGCATTTTTTTCTCTCTATTGAAATCTACTGTATTATTTGCCCAACTTGAAAACCCAGCAATTCCAATACAAATCACTGGGCAACCGAACAAGCCAAGAGAGTGTTGTTCAGTGTGAAGTGCTAATGTTTGTTCACGCCCAGTCGAGGTGAGAGAAATCAACAGAATCTGAAAGATTCAGGTCAAATTTTACAGCACACCAGTGAAGAGGTAAATACTTGACTAGGGCTTCCGTTCACTTTGACAACCATGGCAACAAGATGGGGGTCCTTTGAATCAAGCCCTGGGGAGTGAATTTATGTTTCCTTTTAGGGAAAGACACTTACAAAACCGCTGTGGAGAGTTAGATAGATATCTAGTGTGACTCATTTTTGCTGCAAATCAACTGACGTGCAGCTAACACTTAATAAATGCTGCTAGTAGTTTGCGTCTGATTTGTCAATAGACATCATCTGTAAGAAAGGGTAAAAGACCACATGCACATCTTATGGCTTTGAGCAGATGCTGGATATTGCATAGCCTCAATGTTCATCAGCAAAAAATAAAGATTTGCCAGTACATTATAGCATTTGACCCTTAGGTTTGTCTGAAACACTGTTGCAAATAAACACACTAAGCTATGTACAGTTAATGCATGAAATCAGGAAATCTATCAATTTTACTAGAGAAAATGGTAACATACTGTATATAACAGTATGCAGTCACTCCCTTTTCCCACATTATCTCCAGGAGATATCTAGCCAGATAGATATGTGTCAAGCCTGAGGGACCAGACTACCAGAGCATTGTCCTATCTGCTAAACCACAGGCTTCTCAGACCACATTGAGGACTGGGCACACAGCCAGAAACACTTATCAGGCTGTCATCTTTTTACACTCAGTTTACAGCTCTATTATAAATTGAGCATCAAGGGCGCAGGCTGCGGAGAGATTTAGGACCAACAGAGCAGCCCATTGGGAGGTAGAATTTGCCTTCAGGGTAACCTGACTACTCTGAATCCAGGTGAAGAGCAGTAGCAACAAGCTCTCTTTCTTTGAACACCGCTGAGGATTATAAAAAAGGTGTTTGTCACAAAATACTCCTGAATTTTGCAGGATGACTCGTAAAGACTCTTGAAAACCAACAGCATATAAGTGGTTATGAGGGTAAGTCTTTATTTGAAACTATGTACATAATGCTGTCATACAATGAAAACCATCATTATGCAATAGAAACCGTTATGCTGATGAAATGCCAGCAGTAAGCAGGCATATTAGCTGACCTAACAAAGGTTTGAAATACAATTTCTAACAAGTGTATAGTCAGTTGATATACTGTACGCAGACACCAGACCAGACAGTTGAAAGATCAGATCAGCTTCTGATCTCTTCCAATCAGTTGTGTAAAGAAAATAACTTCCTGATAATTGGCTGCATGGTTATGTTGCAGGCCAAGGCCTGTGTGTTTGGGGCTCCTTGATCTAAATGCTGCTTTCATTCTATTATAAAGGTTACATTACTGTGTCTTATCACAGGTGCAGGGCAAATAGGAAATTATCTGCACATCATTGTAAAGTTCCCCGAGGTGGAATTTTATGAGCTGTACAAACAAAGAACACAATGTCTGGACCTTACGGTTTTCATCAGGTGTATGACACACAATATCTAAATGCTGGTGAAATAAGACATTAGGGTTCTTTCATCACACAACAGCTATTGCATTTCTCATCCTTCATTAGCTGAAACTGGATGGAGCCGGTGTAATACGGAAGAGGTGGTAATTAGCCATGTTTGATACCTGAAGACTTGTGTTAGCTCCCAAAGGAACCTAGGGTTTAGCTCAGCTGGCTAAGACAGTTTTGTGACCCGCAGACGACCCGGGTTCAAACCCAGTCAGTCACAACAAACCAGTCATTATGAACGTGGTGTTGAGATGGATGTACCAGGCGTATTACCGAACACATACTGTAGCAAGGACTCTACATGAAATGAGGGAATTTGCAGACAGAAGAGATGAGCAGACAACGTAATGTCCTATTCACATTGTGTTAGTCACTGCTGTGAAGGTAATAACTGGAATGTTAACAGATCGTTTGTGAAAAGCACAGATTTATAATACAGAATGCATTTATCAAAACGACTGTTTCTCGTGATTTGATTTTCAACCTGCCTAGCCCATGATTATAAACCAGACACAGCACCGCCACCTACTGGTAACCCACTGACATTGTAATTTTAGAGCAACTACTAATGGTTGAAGTACTGTAACTGTAATGGACTAGTGAATAACTAGTAAAACAACACCGCTAAGGTAATACCTTGCATGATAGTTATTGAGAACTGCTGTACTTGTATTATTTCATAGAGGTATAGAGGTACTTTTATTAGAGGAATAGAGGTACTTTTATTAGAGGAATGGAGGTATAGAGGTACTTTTATTAGAGGAATATAGGTACTTTTATTAGAGGAATAGAGGTATAGAGGTACTTTTATTAGAGGAATAGAGGTATAGAGGTACTTTTATTAGAGGAATAGAGGTACTTTTATTAGAGGAATAGAGGTATAGAGGTACTTTTATTAGAGGAATAGAGGTACTTTTATTAGAGGAATAGAGGTATAGAGGTACTTTTATTAGAGGAATAGAGGTATAGAGGTACTTTTATTAGAGGAATAGAGGTATAGAGGTACTTTTATTAGAGGAATCGTATCAGAGGCATCTCTCACAGATACACACCAAATGGCTGCATCTCCTGGCCTTTCAATTTGCAATCAGCGAGCGTCTGTCCGTCTGACGCACCTCAATCTCCTTGAAATGGACACTGGCTTTACTCCTGATGGATGGTTCACATGACTCTATAGAAGGGAGGAAAAAGGGAAAGTGAGGAAAAATGAAAGAGAGACTAGTGTAGACCTTAATGTAAATATGGTGGTGGTGAAAAAAACTATGTGAATGACTTACTTGCGGTTCCACTTTGTACTGAGGCGTTGCTATCGGAGCTGTCATCTCCGTGGTGAGAAGATGGGGGCAGTCTCACGGCCAGTTCTCCCAGGGTGGGCTTAACGTTGAAGCGCTCTGCTAGAGAGAAATGCAGTTTTCTTATCTCAATTCAATGACATTATTTTGATTTGACTAACAAAAGCATTGAATCACAATCACATGATAGTCCTGTCGAACCCTAACCCTAATGTTACCAGCCTCATGGTCTGTCCAAGAACCCCACTCTATCCCGATTGTTGGTGCACTCACTGGGGTTTTGGGCTCTCTCGGTCGCCCTCTGCTCCAGGTGCATGTGGATGATGGCCTGCACCTTCCTCTGGTTGGTGGAGATGTTGGGCTCGGCTATGACCTCGGTCAGCCGCAGGTTGTTCTTGATGGCCTTGGAGGCCGTGGCCCGAGCCAGCATGGGCAGTTGGTCCTGGTAGTCCCTGTCTGTGAAGTCAATCTCCCTGCCCTGATTCCCTTTGATCCTGGACAGTTATATATCAGTTATATCAGTTACAGCGCCCTCCGTAATTATTGGGACAGTGAAACATGTCTTCTTCTTTTGGCTCTATACTCCAAAATGTTGGATTTGAAATCAAACAATGTCTATTAGGTTAAATGCAGACTGTCAGCTTTAATTTGAGGGTATTTCCATTCATATTGGGTGAAACATTTAGAAATAACAGCACTTTTTGTACATAGTCCCCTCCATTTTAGGGGAGTATTGTGTATTAAAGTAGTAAAAAGTTAAGTATTTGTTCCCTTTTTCATAGCACGCAAGGTACTTCATTCATTACATCAAGCTTGTGACTCTACAAACTTGTTGGATGCATTTGCTGTTTGTTTTGGTTGTTTTTCAGATTATTTCGTGCCTAATAGAAATTAATGGTAAATAATGTATTGTGTCATTTTGGAGTGACTTTTATTGTAAATAAGAATAGAATATGTTTCTAAAGACTTCTACATTAATGTGGATGATACCATGATTATGGATAATCCTGAATGAATCATGAATAATGATGATTGAGAAAGTTACAGACGCACAAATATCATACCTCCAATAATTGTTTGGGGGGGTATGATATTTGTGCGTCTATAACTTTCTCACTCATAGGGTACTGTACAGTATATCAGTTATATTTAGACAATGGAAAAATATGAGGAACTGGATCCGGAAAGCAGTAAAAGAAAGCCTGGTTAAACCAGACTGACCACAATGCTCACTAGTGAAACTATTGTAAGTGCAGCAGACAGTCTAGTTTCACAACGCTAAGAAAGAGAATCCCTTGATGATCAGTTAGCGTCTATGAATTATATTTATTTTAGCCAGGATAGTCGGCTCAGTAACAATTGGAAAACAGACAACCCATTGTCTCCCTCTCTTAACAAAGCCTATTGTAATCCTTATGTATTGATGAAGAGAGGACTTGAATTGGTTGAGCATGCTATGTCTCACCTCCTTTTAGTTAAGATGGTGTAAATCTCTTGCACTAGGAGCTCCGCTGCTCCTGGTTTGCAGTGGATGGTCCCGTCCAGAACTTCCTTTAGCAGATGGATGTTCTGTTTCGCTAGAAACTGAGAAGAGAGTAGAAATTTATTTTCCTTTATTCAACATGACAAACAAAAGAAAAAACAGATGTCTGGACTATAGAAAGACAGCCTTCTCACAGCAAAAACATTGATGACTTTGCAAGTGGACATAGGATTATACCCACCAGTTTATTTGTACTCATACACCTACTATTTTGTTACTGTCTGTTAGTATGGGTTCCAGTCTTTATTTCTTTATTTTTTATTTCACCTTTATTTAACCAGGTAAGCCAGTTGAGAACAGGTTCTCATTTACAACTGCGACCTGGCCAAGATAAAGCAAAGTAGTGCAATAAAAACAACAGAGTTACATATGGGGTAAAAAAAAACATAAAGTCAGAAATACAACAGAAAATATATATACAGTGTGTGCAAATGTAGCAAGTTATGGAGGTAAGGCAATAAATAGGCTATAGTGCAGAATAATTACAATAGTATTAACACTGGAATGCTAGATGTGCAAGAGATTATGTGCAAATAGAGATACTGGGGTGCAAAAGAGCAAAATAAATAACAATATAGGGATGAGGTAGTTGGGTGGGCTAATTTCGGATGGGCTGTGTACAGGTGCAGTGATCGGTAAGGTGCTCTGACAACTGATGCTTAAAGTTATTGAGGGAGATAAGAGTCTCCAGCTTCAGAGATTTTTGCAATTCGTTCCAGTCATTGGCAGCAGAGAACTGGAAGGAATGGCGGCCAAAGGAGGTGTTGGCTTTGGGAATGACCAGTGAGATATACCTGCTGGAGCGCAGACTACGGGTGGGTGCTGCTATGGTGACCAATGAGCTAAGATAAGGCGGGGATTTACCTAGCAGTGATTTATAGATGGCCTGGAGCCAGTGGGTTTGACGACGAACATGTAGTGAGGACCAGCCAACAAGAGCGTACAGGTCACAGTGGTGGGTAGTGTATGGGGCTTTGGAGACAAAACGGATGGCACTGTGATAGACTACATCCAATTTGCTGAGTAGAGTGTTGGAGGCTATTTTGTAAATTACATCGCCGAAGTCAAGGATCGGTAGGATAGTCAGTTTTACGAGGGCATGTTTGGCAGCATGAGTGAAGGAGGCTTTATTGCGAAATAGAAAGCCGATTCTAGATTTAACTTTGGATTGGAGATTCTTTATGTGAGTCTGGAAGTTGAGTTTACAGTCTAACCAGACACCTAGGTATTTGTAGTTGTCCACATACTCTAGGTCAGACCCGTCGAGAGTGGTGATTCTAGTCGGGTGGGCGGGTGCCAGCAGCGTTCGATTGAAAAGCATGCATTTAGTTTTACTAGTGTTTAAGAGCAGTTGGAGGCTACTGAAGGATTGTTGTATGGCATTGAAGCTCGTTTGGAGGTTTGTTAACACAGTGTCCAATGAAGGGCCAGATGTATACAAAATGGTGTCGTCTGCGTAGAGGTGGATCTGAGAGTCACCAGCAGCAAGAGCGACATCATTGATATACACGGAGAAAAGTGTCGGCCCAAGAATTGAACCCTGTGGCACCCCCATAGACACTGCCATAGGTCCAGACAACAGGCCCTCCGATTTGACACACTGAACTCTATCTGAGAAGTAGTTGGTGAACCAGGCGAGGCAGTCATTTGAGAAACCAAGGCTATTTAGTCTGCCAATAAGAATGCGGTGGTTGACAGAGTCGAAAGCCTTGGCCAGGTCGATGAAGACGGCTGCACAGTACTGTCTATTATCAATCGCGGTTATAATATCGTTTAGGACCTTGAGCGTGGCTGAAGTGCACCCGTGACCAGCTCGGAAACCGGATTGCATAGTCTGTTTAGCTAAGGAGTGTAATGTGATAGATGAACAGAGACGACAACCAGGCTACCTGGCCATACCCTCCAACTCTTACCCTCTCTATTTGTGCCCAGTTGCCCTGTTTGGTTGGAAGTGATGTCCCATTGTTGTAGGAGTGCATGGGGAAGTCTTCATGATAATACCAGGAAAACATCTCTGCCACAAGGTAGCCATTGGAGAAATCCCTGGTGAAGGGAAAATGTGATTCCATAACATAGGGGAGAGTGGGATAAGTTGAGCCAATTTTTATATTCATTACAGTGCATTCCGGAAGTATTCAGACCCCTTCCTTTTTTCCCACTTTGTTACGTTACAGCCTTATTCTAAAATGGATTAAATTAATGTTTTTCCTCATCAATCTACACACAATACCCCATAATGACAAAGCGAAAACTGGTTTTTAGAAACAGAAATACCACATAAGTATTCAGACCCTTTGCTATGAGACTAGAAATGGAGCTCAAGTGTATCCTGTTTGCATTGATCATCCTTGAGATGTTTCTACAACTTGATTGGAGTCCACCTGTGGCAAATTCAATTGATTGGACATGATTCGGAAAGGTACACAACTGTCTATATAAGGTCCCACAGTTGTAAGTTCATATGCAAAAAACAAGCCATGAGGTCGGAGGAATTGTCCGTAGAGCCGAGGCACAGATCTGGGGAAGGGTACATTGAAGGTCCCCAAGAACACAGTGGCCTCCATCATTCTTAAATGGAAGACGTTTGGAACCACCAAGACTCTTCCTAGAGCTGGCCGCCCGGCCAAACTGCGCAATCGGGGGAGAAGGGCCTTGGTCAGGGAGGTGACCAAGAACCCGATGGTTCCTCTGACAGAGCTCCTTAGTTCCTCTATGGAGATGGGAGAAACTTACAGAAGGACAACCATCTCTGCAGCACTCCACCAATCAGGCCTTTATGGTAGAGTGGCCAGACGGAAGCCACTCCTCAGTAAAAGGCACATGACAGCCCGCTTGGAGTTTGCCAAAAGGCACCTAAAGGACTCTCAGACCATGAGAAACAAGATTCTCTGTGCTGATGAAACCAACATTGAACTCTTTGGCCTGAATGCCAAGCGTCACCTCTGGAGGAAACCTGGCACCATCCCTACGGTGAAGCATGGCGGTGGCAGCATCATGCAGTGAGGATGTTTTTCAGCGGCAGGACTGGGAGACTAGTCAGGATCGAGGGAAAGATGAACGGAGCAAAGTACAGAGAGATCCTTGATGAAAACCTGCTCAGGACCTCAGACGGGGGTGAAAGTTCACCTTCCAACAGGACAACAACCCTAAGCACACAGCCAAGACAACGCAGTAGTGGTCTCTTAATGTCTTTGAGTGGCCCAGCCAGAGCTCGGACTGGAACCCGATCGAACATCTCTGGAGAGACCTGAAAATAGCTGTGCAGCGACACTCCCCATCCAACCTGAGAGCTTGAGAGGATCTGCAGAGAAGAATCAGAGAAACTCCCCAAATACAGGTGTGCCAAGCTTGTAGCGTCATACCCAAGAAGACTCAAGGCTGTTATCGCTGCCAAAGGTGCTTCAACAAAGTACTGAGTAAAGGGTCTGAATACTCATGTAAATGTGATATTTCCTGTTTTTTTGTGTCAAAGAATGTTCCTCCCTCACATGCCCCTGAGCCTGTGTAGGAATGTGACTGAAGGAGTGGGATGGGTTTTAATGTATATTTTTGTATTTTGTATGATGTCGGTTTTTCTACAACGGATATTTTTTCTATCATTTACCACCCGTACAGTAGGTTGTGGCATGTACCTCTAATGCTTGTTTGTGGACCGCCATCATACCATAGAAGAAGAAGAAGAAGAAATCATATGGCGGGAATCCGGATGTTTTGGTTTTGTAAACATTCAGTACGCACAGCTTCTCGTTTTGGGTTTTTATCAAATAGTTTGCAAGAATAACTTTAGATACCAAGGTAAAATGGTTGAAGGTCCAGGATGCACACTGAATGGAGAAAAGATCCGCTTGAGGGTCCAAAGAGGACAGAAAGTGAAAGAATTCAGGGGAAGCTTGACGACAAACACACAAGTATGTTGCTAACGTTCGCTAGCTAGTTAGTTACCTCTGTTGTTTTAGCTAGCTAACGTTAGGAAATTGTAACAAACTTAATTTTTTGCAGAGGAATGCCACCAATACGATCTCCTTCCAGATCTTAATGGGCTGTCAATACACAGGAGCTGAGACCCATGGATGTCAGGGCCAAAGAGTTCTGAGGTAGCTAGCAGTTATTTTGTGGGTGAATAAACTGTTTTTGCTTTGTCATCATGGGGTATTGTGTGTAGATTGATGAGGAAAATGACATTAAGCTGTAAGATAACAAAATGTGGAAAGAATTCAAGGGGTCTGAATACTTTCCGAATGTTTTCAATGGAAATAATCAGAATTAATGTAAACATTACAGTTTTGAAAACATTGCTTGCCCAAAAAAAGTGGTCTCTTGGCACAACTTACCCCGGGTATGGGGTATGTTGAGTCGCCGGACAGGGTAAGTTAAGCTGCCTACACATTTCTTTACTGAATGGAATATTACAACTACCTTTTTAAAACCATGTCTATTTTTATTTCCCAAACACAATTCAACAAAAATAACAATCGCGTTTTTGTCTTTTGATCATTTAAAGCATCTTTTAACACAGGCTTTTTAAATATTTTTTTTACCTCATGCCTTGCTTTATGCCTGGGAAGAAAACACTTCAATTTGTTCAACTTTCCATTTGGCTCAATTTACCCCATAGCCATTGGCTCAACTTACCGCAATGAAAAAAAGACTATAGCCCACACAGCTACAAGGATGCACGTTCATGCTAGGTTTAGTAAGTCATATTAAAGCTTATAGAGACCCCAATAGAACAATCTTAAAATGATCTACTTTTGGTTTAGATACAAGCATCATGAAGCCTCTAACCCAATAAATTAATTTGACTTGGTGAAAATCCTTCCTTTTTATTTATTTTTTTACCTAACTTGCTTACCACTTTTTCCATGTGATTTCTTCCTTCACAGACTCCATGAAAATCTTCCTAAATATTTGGTCAAATTATACATTTTGTGTATGGTTTCCAATTTACCCCTTTGGCTCAATTTACCCCACTGTCCCCTATAGACAAACTCTCAAGTTATATTTCACTGAGAAATACTTTGCAATTTGCAAATAAATGTACACTCACCTGCGCATATTCTTTGGAGAAAATGACAAATCCAGGCTTTGAAGCCACTTCAGAACTTCTCGTGGCAGTCCTGTCTTTTTGGGAGGCTGTGCGTAAGCCATTGTTAGCTAGCCAATCAGCTGTATGTAACGTTAATTCAGCTGGCGTCTATGAACCAGCCACACACGCTTACAAAATGACACGAAAAGATAACTTACTGTTGGTCTTATTTTTCCGATTCAGTATTTGGCTAAAGTTGTTGCTATATAATACTGGGTCTTATAGAAAATGGTGCTAAACATACCATCTAAGCTAACCAACTTACTAGCCCATATGGCACATTTGACATGTTTATAAACAGTTCCATAGCAACGGCCCTACTTCTTCTTTCTCCCGGGAAGGTACAATGTTGCCACCCAATGGAAATAGAAAATGTTGCCGCACGCTGAAGCGAGCTGCTTGCCCTTTAAAGACTTGCAAAAACGTTGAATTCTAAACGTTTTAATAAAATAATATCAAGCAGCTCAGACAATAATTTCACACATAATAAAACACATCAAGCAAGTTTATATCTATATATATTTTTTTTTGGAGGATATGAATGCAGGAGTGAAGTATTCTCAATGATAATGGTAAGATTTTGGTGATTTTCAAGTTTTGCAGATGAACAGGTAAAATCTAAAATACATAACAAAGCAATAAACCATTATAATATAACAATCCAAATATTGTATTTTCCATAATATGAAAGCACTTTAAATGGTGTTATTGTATGAGCATATGCGCCAGCCACTGATTAATTTATAAACCTGCTGCAAAATATTGATGAGGCACTAATTTTCTAAGTGCCTTTAACAGTCCTGCTCTGGATTGAAATGAAACTCTCCCTTGAAAACGTTCATAGCAAACCATGGTTGCTGGTTATTGAGCAGTTGCTTGTGAACCATACTAAAATCAGGTATAGGCTAAATCAACTATGTATTTCATTGCTTCAAGTCAAGTTGTGCCCCTTCAATCCTTGCAGGCTGTTGAGTTCCCATGAATGATTGACACAAGGAAGATGCCACCACCACAGCCTTTGAAATCGTGACATTCTATGCTCATCATCTGTACTGGAGGTAGTTCCTGAGGGGATTGGGCAGGGGAAGATGGTTGATGAGGTGAAACCTGTCGTGGCCCACACGGTCACGGATATGCTGTCGACACAGCTGACTCAATGGTTGGGGCGTGGCTGCAGATAGATGGAAAGGAGAAGGGAAAAAATATCATGCTATTCAACCAAATCCACTACAGCCCGGCTAGTTTGCTATTGCTTGAACATATGATGTTGTATTCTATTCTATTCCAGACAATAATGGTTTAGTTTTAAACATATAATGGACAGCTAGTTTGACTTGGGCGATAAACCAATAACACTACGATACTTTGGCTATAGGAATTCACTGATTTCAAAGGATGACTGTGAATAGGCCTATAGAACTTACCCTCATAAACCAGTAGGAACCCTTCTGTCAGGCTGCTGGGGGGAGCAGCCTCCACAGGCCTCTGGAACTCCATGTTCCTGGCGTGGATATCTGCCCCAAAGTCCAACAGCAGCTTAACAATGGCTATGCAGTCGTTCTCAGCGGCAGCATGTAAGGGAGACTCCATATATCTACCTTTCTGTACATTTGCTCCTGTGTGGAGGGGTGAACCAAGGTATGGATTTAATTAAGCAATAAGGCCAGAGGGGGTGTGGTAAATGGCCAATATACCACGGCTAAGGGCTGTTCTTATGCATGACGCAACATGGAGTGCTAGGACACAGCCCTTAGCCGTGGTATATTGGCCATATATCACAAACCCCTGTGGTATACGGTCTGATATACCACGGCGTTCAGCCAATCAACATTCAGGGCTCGAACCACCCAGTTTATAATACACATTTAATAGTTCTATGTCGTTCAGTTACAGGAAATATGTACTTTATCGCTGGCATAACATGATGGATTTAGACTTGTGTACACTTTTATCCAGGTGGGTGCAACATATTAGTGGTGTAGAAAAGAGCAGACGCTCTGAGCTATCCCACCAAGACCAAGCTACTACTGCATTAGTGGTGGATGTGGCCATAGTAAGAGTGCTATACAGGTACAATACATTTCACCACTTGGGGAGACAGTAATAATCTTACCACCAGCTCTCCTCCTCTCATCATACCTGGCTATGGTGCTTTGGCAGAGCAGAGGTGCACGTGCCTCACCTTCCCTCAGCAGCCTCTGGACACACTCTATCTCCTGAGAGACACAGGCGGTGTAGAGGGGCGTTCCCAGGTGAGGAATGTGAAAGTCCACGTCGGCTCCCCATCTGACTAGAGTCTCCACACACCCACTGCTGCCTACCGACCGTAGGCACATACATGGAAGTCATTACTGTCAGCTTTCCAATTACTGCGGCGGGCGTCTTAGCTAATTATTTCTGACCCGGAATATGATGAATCCTCTAAGCATTATCAAATCAAATCAAATTGTATTTGTCACATGCGCCGAATACAACCGGTGTAGACCTTACAGTGAAATGCTTACTTACAAGCCCTTAACCAACAATGCAGTTTTAAGAAAGAATACCCCCCAAAAAAAAATTTAACACAAAAGAAATGACATAAAATAATACAAAATAAAAGTAACAAATAATTAAAGAGCAGCAGTAAAATAACAATAGCGAGGCTATATACAGGGGGTACTCTGACTTAATTATGTTTGTGTGTCTCGAATCTATGTTTCAAGGACAAGATAACATGTATTTAAGTATGTATTTTTATAAAAATATATATATGTTTAGCTCACATAATATAATTTAAAAGTATGCATTAAGTGTCTGTAATAGAATGAATGTGTCAAAAACGAATATAGACATTAATAAATGCATTTCTATAGGATATTGAGCATACCTTTACTGCTGGCTTGGTGAATGGGAGAGGGCTGAAATACCAGAGCCTGGGGTTTGGCCCCGTTCTCCAGGAGGACCTCTGCGCATGATACACTGCCCACTGAGCACGCGTTGAAAAGGGGAGTCACCCCATCAATGGTGGTGATGTTCACCTGTACAGAGTCTCATGTTAACTCTGACCACTCAGCTGAATAACGCAGCACCATTTCGGGGCAGAGGAAAAATAACAAATTACAGAGAACAAGATGTATTTTCCAAAAGCCTTATTGAGCTATTTCTTAATGTATTATTTAGTAAAAAGTATTATTGTTTAATGTAAAAAAAGAAGAGAAAAAAAGAAGAAGATATTCTTGATTATTAATGTATTTTCTCCAGTGACTCACATTGGCTCCTGCAGCGATCAGAGCTCTGGCACATGCTACATGGTCTCCAAGGCAGGCCTCGTGGAGAGGACTCACATGGTCTATAGTGACTACATTTACATTGTGGCCCTGTGGGAGAAGCAGAACACAACCATAGTACATTGCAGGAGGTAAGCAGTGGGTGCACACTGAATTGAATTGGATTACCTTTGGCTCACCTGTAAAATGAGATTCCTCAGAGCTAGGAGACGACCTTGGCATGCAGCATCATGTAAGGGTGAGCGGTCAGCCCAGGACCCTGCAGCAAACACAAATGCTTATGTCACTCACAACAACTCACCGTCTTACAGTTTTGATGAATGATTCCATTTCACAGGGCACACACACCTGGGTCAATATCCAGAATAGCGCCAGATGCGTTCCATACTGCATCATCATTATTACCTATCTCCATATCACTGATCTATGACACTGCTGAAACTTCTATTCTATTTCACTTCACATGAGGCAGAGTACTAAGGATCCATGCAGTCCAATTGAGGGTGAGCCAATATGTTTACATTGGCAATAGCCGTCAATTCTATTTCCTCTTGAACTAGCCTAACCTACTTGATGTAGTAATGGAAGACCAAGCCACTGTAAATCAAAAACAAAACATGTTCTGGGAAAAGTGTGAACTACATGTAGCTACACACTGACCTTTAATAACGCACGACAAGATTTGACTTTGTGTTGCTGTTTGCTGCATTGGTGTTCCCTTTCCATGTGCCAAACATGTTGGCACACTTGTCTGTCACTGACACTGGGAAGCTTAAGTGCTGTTTTGGTCTGCAAGTCTGCCTACAGACCACAGTCAGTCAGGAATGGAAACTAGGGCAAGGGGGTGGGCCCATTCTATTAATAGATCAGGGTAGAAATGAGGCTGACCGGTATGTACAGGATACACAGTCATGTTTCAGCTACTTTGCATGTTAAGGTCAACAAAGTGAGTATATGCATTATTCATAGTATGCAGGGTGTAGCCTAATCACCCTTTATTTCAGTCAGATCAACTCTCTTCCTAAATGTTAACTTTTTAGGCAAAATGCAATGGCAAACATCTTTGGTTTTATAATATTTGCAAATATAAAAAGCATAATCATTTTAATATAATAATTATTCCAAAAATGTATATATTTTTGAAAATAGACCAATACAGTAGAGAGATGTGGGTACTCACTGTGTCCTTGACCAAAATCATAGAACTCTGCAGATATCCTGGCCACCTCCTTGCGGTTCCCTCTGATGATGTAAAAGTAGGAGAGGCAGTTGAGGCTTATCTTGATAAATAGCTTGAAGCAGAACAGAGCCAGTATGGTGAGGTAAATATTGGAATAATGGCGCAAAAGGATTATCTGTTGCCTCTGTCATATTGCCCCCTTTTTTGAACATGCCTCTGCTATACTGAGGGGATCATATGCCACTCTCAAGTGGTCCTCGCTGAATTAGTTGATATAATATTGTCCAGCTGCTCCTGTGTTAAAGTAGTGTCATTCTCATTGTGGTGTAGTGGAGTGTCATTTAAATTATGGAAGTTTCAGCACAGTCAATATCATCCTGTAATCAGTGTCCACAACTGGTTCCAAGGCATGTTAGGGGCTAAATTCAACTAGTAAATCAGAGCATGGTCCAGAATCAAGTTACAAGGAAGGAAAGAAGGGAAAGGGGATACCAAGTCAGTTGCACCACTGAATACATTCAACCGATCAAGTCTTCAGCATTTAACCCAACCCCTCTGAATCAGAGGTTAATGTTGAGTGCATTTTTTATCCAGGAACAAGGAAAATGCCCACAACAAGGTGAAGTTTCCAACTGTATATGAATAAGACAAAGTGCCCATTTCAGCATCTCTTACCTATTAAAGCATTATTGATATAAAGGAGTGAGAGTTGGTTGAACGGATGGCTGGGTAGTATCATAAATGTTGTAGGCTATATGCAGCAGAGAGCAGTATAGTAACACTATTCGCTAGGAAGGTGGGATATTTTGCCGTATTTCATTCCATTCTCTGTAGTTATTTTCAGCCTGGCTGAATCAGCCATGTTGTGCAACAACAACCAACGAATTACCTTCAAACATGACTGTATAATGTTTCGATTTACGTTGTCTTCTGCAATGTTTGTTTGGACATCATTCTTTACTAAAATATCTGTCCTAGTATTAGCTCAGCTGCCGTCGTTTGTCATCAATCGACGTAAGGAATAATAGCGTCATCTGGCGGCAGCAGAGCAGTACGACAAACTGTGTTACCCATCTACCAATATGTTCGCTTCTTTGCGAGGCATTGGAAAACCTCCCTGGTCTTTGTGGTTGAATCTGTGTTGGAAATGCACTGCTTGACTGAGGGACCTTACAGATAATTGTATATGTGGGGTAAAGAGACGAGGTAGTCATTCCAAAATCATGTTAAACACTATTATTGCACACAGAGTGAGTCCATGCAACGTATTATGTGACTTGTTAAGCACATTTTTACTCCTGAATTTATTTAGGCTTTTCATAACAAAGAGGCTGAATACTTATTGACTTAAGACATTTCAGCTTTGCATTTTTAAATTATTTGTAAACATGTAGAAAAACATAATTCCACTTTGACATGGGGTATTGTGTGTAGACCAGTGAAAAAAAATCTCTATTTAATCAAAATGTGGAAAAAGTAAAGGGGTGTGAATACTTTCTGAAGGTACTGAATCTAGTCTATTCAACATTTAATGGATGATTATGGTTCTATTGTATAACGATTTCATTCAAAGTATGATGTTGTTTGCACCAATAGGCAATACTCTACAGTAGTTAAGGTAATTCCACAATCAATGCTTTTTTAATCAAAGGAATGTCGATGTATTGTACTGCAGTACCACAGATGTTTTCATTAGTTATACAGTATATGGATGTCAATTCTTAGATAAAAAAAAATGCAATAACAAATTCTTCATATATATTCTTACTTCTGTGTTTCCTTTAATCTTTGAAAGGGAAATATTTGTTACAAGATTTCAATAGGATTTCTATAGTCAAAATAAGAACCAGATACCTTTATTTTCCTTCTTCACCTAAAGAAGTTAATCTCAAAACAATTAATTACATTCCCCATGTAATGATTTCTTAAGATGGAGATTTAATTTTGTCTTTAATCATTGTATTTTTTCTAACTCTGATATTGAAACGGCAGAAGATATGTTCTTCATGTCAACTCACTAAAACCTTTTCGGGATGCATTTCAATATTGGATTACATATAATTATCTTATTATACCCACTTTAACTTATAATTATGTCAGATTTGGTTTCCTAATGGAGGACAGAAATGTTGAATTTATGTACAATAATTAGATTATTAAGGCAAAATATTTCATACAGAAATGTCGTTTCTTAAAAACTACCCCTCTGTTTGTAGTCTTTATGAAGGAGGATACATTGTACAAGAAATCTTTGAAATTAGTTCAATCTAAGCAAGCCCTGTGTCTGTATAATATCTCTGATCCCTGATTAGACCACTTTGTGTCTGTTTTCTTTCTTCTTTTTTATATTATTTATTAATGCTTTTTCTAGTTGCTCGATCTGTTGATTAGAACAAGTGTTTTTTTGTATGTAAAATGTGCCTATTTGATTGCGAACATTCCTGAATACAAAATATATAATTTCAAGCTAAGCTTGAAATATTTTGGTAGTCAAGTTATTGAAAGACATACCTGTTTTTCCTTTTAGGGCATACTTGTATTCATAGTAAAGTTTTCGCTGGCAAAGACATTACTCTCTACTACAAGCTACATCAAGCTACATCAATGACTGTATGGATCCCATGCATCTCATAGGACTTCCTGGAATGTACAATGCATGTGCACATTTAAACAAAGATTTGTAGAACTAACCCAAGATTGATCAGAGCCTGTCATTTCCAATGGGAGCAAATGAATCACAGTGGGCAGAACACGCAAGCAGAGCCAAGCACGAGATGATGCTAGTGAGATGCTATTGACGCGTTCTTGCATTTATTTGGATATCTCAATTAAGGAACACCGACTCTGGTAAGTGCGCGTGTGCAATAACTCAATTCACCCTTGCACTCTTTCTAAACAAAGCAATTTCTTGAAACATTGGCAAAAGGTAAAGTCTACAAAATGCTGTCCACTCTGTTTGTTACAGAATCTAGTTTAGCAAACAGAAAACTGTATGGAGATCAAATGTTTCATTGATGAGAAGATTTGCAGAATGTCGGCCAAAATCCATCTCCCTCCAGCTTCTCCCTCTGCCGGTTAATGAGCTTCCTCTCATCACCATATTTGGTAGTGAGTGGAAACGCCAACCGGATGCTTCACACTTTTACAGCTGGTTAAATATCTGACTCATTGTTCTATCTGTGGTTTAAATCTTCTTCTTCTATGGTATTATGGTGGTCCGCAAAAAAACTTTAAAGGACAAACGTTAAAGGTGCATGCACGTTTAAATCATTTGACCGTGTTAAAATTCTATGTCAAAAAGCTGGACATTGTAGCATTTATTGCAATGGTCATAAACTTCATAGCACACATTGGAATCATTGTGAGTGCAGCAGAACACTTGTTTGGAGTCAGTGAGCTTACAGTTAGGCATTGCGGCCCTCTAACCAATTGTGCTATTGTGTGTGTTTTTTCATTTATTCTGTACATAATGTTTCTGCCACCGTCTCTTATGACCAAAAAGAGCTTCTGGATATAAGGACAGCGATTACTCACCTCGTATTGGATGAAGAGTTTTTCTTCAATGAGTCGGACGCAAAGGATATTCCACAGACACCCGACATGGTCCAAATCCCCATCATTCGCATGAGAAAGAGACAGAGATATTGTGGACGTAGGTCGGAGTGCCTTGTAAGGATCTGACGGCGAGTGAGTAATCTGCCTCTTCCATCAATCCTATTAGCCAACGTACAATCATTGGAAAACAAAATGGCTGAACGACGACATGGATAACATACAGCTGGCGGGATATATGCTACATGGGCAGGATAGACGGCTGACTCCGTTAAGACAAGGGGTGGCGGTCGGTGTATATTTGTAAACAACAGCTAGTGCACGAAATCTAATACTAAGGAAGTCTCTAAGTTTTGCTCTCTTGAGGTAGAGCATCTCATGATAAGCTGTAGACCACACTATTTACCAAGAGAGTTTTCTTCTATATTTTTCGTAGTTGTCTATTTACCACCACAAACCGATGCTGGCACTAAGATTGCACTCAGTGAGCTGTAAAAGGCCATAAGCAAACAGGAAAACGCTCATCCAGAGGCAGCGCTCCTAGTGGCCGGGGACTTTAATGCATGGAAAGTTAAATCCGTTCTACCTCATTTCTACCAGCATGTTAAATGTGCAACCAGAGGAAAAAAAAACTGTAGACCACCTTTACTCCACACACAGATACACGTACAAAGCTCTCCCTCGCCCTCCATTTGGCAAATCTGAACATAAATATATCCTCCTGATTCCTGCTTATAAGCACCAGTGACTCGATTAATAAGGAAGTGGTCAGATGACGAAGATGCTAAACTACAGGATTGTTTTGCTAGCACAGACTGGAATATGTTCTGGGATTCTTCCGATGGCATTGAGGAGTACACCACATCAGTCACTGGCTTCATCAATAAGTGCATCGATGACGTCGTCCCCACAGTGACCGTACGTACATACCCCAACCAGAAGCCTTGGATTACAGGCAACATCTACCAGACACAAGCCTACCAGACGAGCTAAATAATTTATATGCCCGCTTCGAGGCAAGCAACACTGAAGCATGCATGAGAGCACCAGCTGTTCCGGATGACTATGTGATCACACTCTCCGTAGCCGATGTGAGTAAGACTTTTAAGCAGGTCAACATTCACAAGGCCGCAGGGCCAGACGGATTACCAGGACGTGTACTCCGAGCATGTGCTGACCAACTGGCAAGTGTCTTCACCGACATTTTCAACATGTCCCTGACTGAGTCTGTAATACCAACATGTTTCAAGCAGACTATCATAGTCCCTGTGCCCAAGAACACTAAGATAACCTGCCTAAATGACTACCGACCCGTAGCACTGACGTCTGTAGCCATGAATTGCTTTGAAAGGCTGGTCATGGCTCACATCAACACCATTATCCCAGAAACCCTAGACCCACTCCAATTTGCATGCCACCCCAACAGATCCACAGATGATGCAAACTCTATTGCATTCCACACTGCCCTTTCCCACCTGGACAAGAGGAACACCTACGTGAGAATGCTATTCATTGACTACAGCTCAGCGTTCAACACCATAGTACCCTCAAAGCTCATCACTAAGCTAAGGATCCTGGGACTAAACGCCCCCCTCTGCAACTGGATCCTGGACTTCCTGATGGGCTGCCCCCAGGTGGTAAGGGTAGGTAACAACACATCTGCCACGCTGATCCTCAACACGGGGGCCCCTCAGGGGTGCGTGCTCAGTCCCCTCCTGTACTTCCTGTTCACCCTTGACTGCATGGCCAGGCACGACTCCAACACCATCATTAAGTTTGCCGATGACACAACAGTGGTAGGCCTGATCACCGACAACGATGAGACAGCCTATAGGGAGGAGGTCAGAGACCTAGCCGTGTGGTGCCAGGATAACAACCTCTCCCTCAACGTGACCAAGACAAAGGAGATGATTGTGGACTACAGGAAAAAAAAGAGGACTGAGCACGCCCCCATTCTCATCGACGGGGCTGTAGTGGAACAGGTTGAGAGCTTCAAGTTCCTTGGTGTCCACATCACCAACGAACTATCATGGTCCAAACACACCAAGACAGTCATGAAGAGGGCACGACAAAGCCTATTCCCCCTCAGGAGACTGAAAAGATTTGGCATGGGTTCTCAGATCCTCAAAAAGTTCTACAGCTGCACCATCGAGAGCATCCTGACTGGTTGCATCACCGCCTAGTAGTACGCCTTCTCAAATGACTGCCTCGCCTGGTTCACCAACTACTTCTCAGATAGAGTTCAGTGTGTCAAATCGGAGGGCCTGTTGTCTGGACCTATGGCAGTCTCTATGGGGGTGCCACAGGGTTCAATTCTTGGGCCGACACTTTTCTCCGTGTATATCAATGATGTCGCTCTTGCTGCTGGTGACTCTCAGATCCACCTCTACGCAGACGACACCATTTTGTATACATCTGGCCCTTCATTGGACACTGTGTTAACAAACCTCCAAACGAGCTTCAATGCCATACAACAATCCTTCAGTAGCCTCCAACTGCTCTTAAACACTAGTAAAACTAAATGCATGCTTTTCAATCGAACGCTGCTGGCACCCGCCCACCCGACTAGAATCACCACTCTCGACGGGTCTGACCTAGAGTATGTGGACAACTACAAATACCTAGGTGTCTGGTTAGACTGTAAACTCAACTTCCAGACTCACATAAAGAATCTCCAATCCAAAGTTAAATCTAGAATCGGCTTCCTATTTCGCAATAAAGCCTCCTTCACTCATGCTGCCAAACATGCCCTCGTAAAACTGACTATCCTACCGATCCTTGACTTCGGCGATGTAATTTACAAAATAGCCTCCAACACTCTACTCAGCAAATTGGATGTAGTCTATCACAGTGCCATCCGTTTTGTCTCCAAAGCCCCATACACTACCCACCACTGTGACCTGTACGCTCTTGTTGGCTGGTCCTCACTACATGTTCGTCGTCAAACCCACTGGCTCCAGGCCATCTATAAATCACTGCTAGGCAAATCCCCGCCTTATCTTAGCTCATTGGTCACCATAGCAGCACCCACCCGTAGTCTGCGCTCCAGCAGGTATATCTCACTGGTCATTCCCAAAGCCAACACCTCCTTTGGCCGCCATTCCTTCCAGTTCTCTGCTGCCAATGACTGGAACGAATTGCAAAAATCTCTGAAGCTGGAGACTCTTATCTCCCTCAATAACTTTAAGCATCAGTTGTCAGAGCACCTTACCGATCACTGCACCTGTACACAGCCCATCTGAAATTAGCCCACCCAACTACCTCATCCCTATATTGTTATTTATTTTGCTCTTTTGCACCCCAGTATCTCTATTTGCACATAATCTCTTGCACATCTAGCATTCCAGTGTTAATACTATTGTAATTATTCTGCACTATAGCCTATTTATTGCCTTACCTCCATAACTTGCTACATTTGCACACACTGTATATATATTTTCTGTTGTATTTCTGACTTTATGTTTTTTACCCCATATGTAACTCTGTGTTGTTTTTATTGCACTACTTTGCTTTATCTTGGCCAGGTCGCAGTTGTAAATGAGAACCTGTTCTCAACTGGCTTACCTGGTTAAATAAAGGTGAAATAAAAAAATAAAAATAAAAATGGCAACTGCTCGGTCTCCGACCGCAAGGCACTACAGAGAGTAGTGCGTACGGCCCAGTACATCACTGGGACCAAGCTTCCTGCCATCCAGGACCTCTATACCAGGCGGTGTCAGAGGAAGGCCCTAAAAATTGTCAAAGACTCCAGCCACCCAAGTCATAGACTGTTCTCTCTGCTACCGCACAGCAAGCTGTACTGGAGCGCCAAGTCTAAGTCCAAAAGGCTTCTTAACAGCTTATACCCCCAAGCCATAAGACTCCTGAACAGCTAATCATGGCTACCCAGACTATTTGCATTGTCCCCCCCACCCTCTCTTTTACGCTGCTGCTAGTCACTTTAACATATTACCTCAATTACCTCCTCTAACCGTTGCCCCCGCACATTGACTCTGTACCGGTACCCCTTGTATATATATTTTTTACTCATCTATTTTTTACTTAACACTTTTTTCTTAAAACTGCATTGTTGGTTAAGGGCTTGTAAGTAAGCATTTAACTGTAAGGTCTACACCTGTTGTATGAGGCGCATGTGGCAAATAACATTTGATTTGATTAGCAAGAAATCCTGTCAAAGAATGTTCCACCCTCACATGCCACTGAGCCTGTTTAGGAATGTGACTGGAGGAGTGGGATGGGTTTTAATATGTCTATTTTTGTATTTTGTACAATGTCGTTTTTTCTACAACGGATATTTTTTCAATCGTTTACCTCCCGTACAATAGGTTGCGGCATGCACTTCTAATGCTTGTTTGCGGACCGCCATCATACCATAGAAGAAGAAGAAGAAATCATATGGCGGGAATCTGGATGTTTTGGTGTTGTAAACATTCAGTACGCACAGCTTCTCGTTTTGGGTTTTTATCAAATAGTTTGCAAGAATAACTTTAAATACCAAGGTAAAATGGTTGAAGGTCCAGGATGCACATTGAATGGAGAAAAGATCCGCTCGAGGGTCAAAAGAGGACAGAAAGTGAAAGAATTCAGGGGAAGCTTGACGACAAACACACAAGTAAGTTGCTAACGTTCGCTAGCTAGCTACCTCTTGTTGTAACTTGCTAACGTTAGGAAATTGTAACGAACGTTATTTTTTGCAGAGGAATGCCACCAATACGATCTCCTTCCAGATTTTCATGGGCTGTCAATACACAGGAGTTGAGACCCTTGGAAAGGAACTCTTCATGTACTTTGGCCAAAGAGCTCTGAGGTAACTAGCAGTTATTATGTGGTTGACGTTATTTTATTGATATGAATCAATGGATTAAATTAATGTATTAAATGTCTAACGTACCACTGCATTTCTGAACTGTTTACATTTGTCATTATCTATCTTCTAATGGCAGAGTCCACTTTGGTATGGATGGCTCTATGCGAATCAACCACACTGACAGGAAAAGCAGAAAGGGATCACCCCCTGTACTGGAGATCCACCTGACCAATGACACAGTCTCCTTCTTTGACTCTACTGTGGAAATCAGGTACGGGGATAAACTAGAGGCTAATTCACACTGGGCTGGAACAAAAGCCTGCACTTGTAGGTGCCAATCCCTGTTGTGAAGCACTACACATTTGCTCCTGGCATCAACCCATATAGTTCCAATTGTGCCTTTGATTGTCATCATTCTAACATTAAATTGGGTCCTCTACACACACACACATGTGATTACAGACCAGATGTGTGACCAAGTCACTATTATTCGGGTCATCAGCAAGTCTCAAGTCAAAAGGTCAGAGTCTCAAGTTGAGTCCCAAGTAGAACGGGTCAAGACTCGAGTCAAGTCCAAGTCGTGCATTCTAAGAGCAAGTCGAGTTGAGCCACACGTTTTCAAGTCAAGTCTCAAGTGAAGTAAAAAAAAAAAATCTATACATGTCTATTTATTGAGGCTACCAGAAAGAGTGTAGATGTATTTACAGGTCTAGGTGATCCAATGGTAAAAGTGCCATATCATGCAAAATATAAAATCAGATTTATCAAATATACATGGGCAATAGCCCAAAAGAAATAGCCTCTGTATCATGCTTAACCTGTCCTATCTGAACTAACAGGAGCTCAAACAGGTAGGCCTACATAATATAAGCACTTGGCCCCAGGACCATACATTTACCCAATTGACAATTACAACCAATAAACTAATTCTACAATGTAAAAGCGATTTCCACATCCATTGTTACATTGGTACTTTTGTCTTAATCAGACTTAATTATTATTAATGATATTTCAACACCATGCATACATGGAACAATCATTTTGTCTTATACAACGTTCTGACTCCAAAGCGTAAGTAAATTATGAATTTCAAGCAACTGTTACATACCAAAAGACCAGTAGGCCTATGCTAGTAATTGTTGCCCCATTGCTGGTGAGCTTGCAAAGTAAACATATTTATTTATTATGGCAATCCTCTCCCTACAATTTGACATTTGGGCTGTACCCGATTCGTCTATATCTGTAAAGCAAATCAGCAATCTGTTCACTAGCTCAACCGACCTGTGTTTACTGGTCCGATCAGAGTGCCGAGTGTGCGTTTTGCTAGCCAATTTGTTGCAGGGTTTTTTGCAAGGGCGATGCAGTGGCTACTCTCTGGCTGCATGTAGAGTAATCCATGTAGACTCTGTGCCACAAAATGAGTGACAAAACCTGGCCAGATAATTACAAGTCATTGGTCTCAAGTCAAAGTCCAGTCCCAAGTCTTGAGGGTCCAAGTCAAGTCTCAAGTAATTTTATTTCATATCAAGTCAAGTCTTCAAATTTGTGACTCGAATCAGAGTCAAGTCATGTGACTTAAGTCCACAACTCTGTTGCAGACTGATGGAAGACTGTGAACAGAGAGTGAGAGCTATGGAGAGTCTGGATGTCTGCTCCGCTAAGTTCAGCTTCTCCCACGCGGAGGAGACGGTGAGGAGGCAGAGCTGCAGGATGCTGTGTGATGTACTCCTAGACCAGGCCGTCCTACCAGGAGTGGGAAACATTATTAAGAACGAAGCCCTGTTTGACTCCGGTCTTCACCCTTCTGTTAAGGTGGGTAAAGCTGATGCACCATTTTAGATACCTATACATTATGAGCAAGCTCCAGTCATGTTTTGGATTGCCTCTAGGCTATTTAGCATGCATTACAAATTACATGGAATCCATTCAGTAAGTGACTTTGGATTAATTTATTCAGCACTGTTGTGACTGAGTAGTGTATTTCATTGCTATAATTTGCTAAATGGTTAAGATTTCAAAATGCTAATTAGAATGGAACGAAGTCAATGGCATGCATACAATTTTCCAAATTGTGATTGCTATCTTTCAGGTCAAACAACTCACGGATACCCAGGTCCACCATCTTGTGAAAATGACACGAGATTTCACCCTTCTATTTTACAAGGTAGGCTACACTTAGCAATGCAATGAAAGAGATATCCTATGTGCTAAATGACCTCTTAATTTAATAAAAACGCTTTACAGTAGTATAAAGACCATGTATTCATCAGCCATGTCCTTTTCTTTCACTTCTGTTTTATCTCAGTGCCGTAAGATAGGCTCCGCTCTCAACAAACACTACAAAGTCTACAAACGGCCTCAGTGTGGTCAGTGCAACGGGGCCATCACCGTCTGTCGCCTCGGAGACAACGGAAGGATGACGTACTTCTGCAACCGCTGCCAGACTGGTGACCCAAGCGAGGTTAATGTGAGGTAAAGTCACAGGATCTGAATTTAAGCTGAATTAAAATAGAAATTAGTTGGGATAAAAGCCTTGGATCCCGACACTTCAGGATTTTCCTCACATGGGCTGACTTACAATTAACATCGGTTCTGATCATTGGCCACCCACGGTACTCGTAAACGTTGCTTGAATCACGCTGCATAATAGCAGGTCAGCTGGCAAGAAATCCAGGATTCACCGGGGTAAACAGGTATAAATGACGGAACTTGTTAGTTAAAAAAATATATATACAGCTCTGGAATAAAATTAAGAGACCACTGCAAAATTATCAGTTTCTCTGGTTTTACTATTTATAGGTATGTGTTTGGGTAAAAATAACATTTTTGTTTAATTCTATAAACTACTGACAAAATTTCTCCCAAATTCCAAATAAAAATATTGTCATTTAGAGCATTTATTTGCAGAAAATGACAACTGGTCAAAATAACAAAAACGATGCAGTTGTCAGACCTCGAATAATGCAAAGAAAATAAGTTCATGTTCATTTTTAAACACAATACTAATGTTTTAACTCAGGAAGAGTTCAGAAATCAATATTTGGTGGAATAACCCTGATTTTCAATCACAGCTTTCATGCGTCTTGGCATGCTCTCCACCAGTCTTTCACATTGATGTTGGGTGACTTTATGCCACTCCTGGCGCAAAGATTCAAGCAGCTCGGCTTTGTTTGATGGCTTGTGACCATCCATCTTCCTCTTGATCACATTCCAGAATTTTTCAATGGGGTTCAGGTCTGGAGATTGGGCTGGCCATGACAGGGTCTTAATCTGGTGGTCCTCCATCCACAGCTTGATTGACCTGGCTGTGTGGCATGGTGCATTGTCCTGCTGGAAAAACCAATCCTCAGAGTTGGGGAACAATGTCAGAGCAAAAGGAAAAGGAAGCAAGTTTTCTTCCAGGACAACCTTGTATGTGGCTTGATTCATGCGTCCTTCACAAAGACAAATCTGCCCGATTCCAGCCTTGCTGAAGCACCCCCAGATCATCACCAATCCTCCACCAAATTTCACAGTGGGTGCGAGACACTGTGGCTTGTAAGCCTATCCAGGTCTCCGTCTAACCATTAGACGACCAGGTGTTGGGCAAAGCTGAAAATTGGACTCATCAGAGAAGATGACCTTACTCCAGTCCTCTACGGTCCAATCCTTATGGTCTTTTGCAAACCTCAGCCTGGCTCTTCTTTGATTCTCATTGATGAAGGGCTTTTTTCTAGCTTTGCACGACTTCAGCCCTGCCCCTAGGAGCCTGTTTCGAACCGTCCTCTCCGTGCACTTCACCCCAGCTGCCGTTTGCCATTCTTTTTGTAGGTCACTTGATGTCATCCTACGGTTGTTGAGTGTCATTCGAATGAGTTGGCGGTCATCCCGGTCAGTAGAGAGTTGTTTTCGCCCTCTGCTGGTCTGTAGCTTTGTTGTCCCCAATGTCTGCTGCTTGACCTTGTTCTTATGAACCGCCGTCTTTTACATTTTAAGGATGGAAGCAACCTGACGCTCACTGTATCCCTCTGCCAGTAAAGTCAGAATTGAACCCTTCTTTTCCTCACTCAAAACTTTCCTTTTCAACTCTTTGGCATGGTCAATAGTTATTTTTTGATTCATATTACTTTTGAGGTACTATTGGCACTGTTTTTGCCATCCAGCTGGTCCTATTGCAAGAGGATAGTGATGACCACAGCAGTGGTTTTTATACTTTTCGTCGTTAAATAAGATTTTGTTCAGGTGATCACCTAATCAGTACCTAATTCAGTAGAATGAGGTGTGCCTGTGTTGGAATTCAACAGACACTGGAATGGAATGGCTGTCATACATGTAGAGATGCTGATTTAAGAAGAAATTGCAGTGGTCTCTTCATTTTTTCCACAGCTGTATATATATTTTCTTTTTATTGAAGGCATTATGCATCTTGTAGGTGAATTTGCATATATGTAATATAATCTGAATGTAAAAGGTACTGGTGAACAAGAATGAACCTTGTCTTCCTTATACTTCCTCTTCTTTAGCAAGCTCCCGACCAGGAACACTTTAGTTGGCTGGGCTTACCAAAGCAGCATGAGTAGCAACGATCACATGGCCAAGAGGGAGGAAGAGGAGTGGGCCTGTCAACTCTGCACTCTGATCAACCAGCCTATGAGCAAGGCCTGTGACGCCTGCCTGACCCCTAGGCCTGAGCGTGAGTAGTCAACTACTCTTATATGGACCAATGTGGTTGTGTCAAACCAATTCTAATCACATTTAGGTCTGGTTTCATATACCCATGACTCAGCAGTACATTGTATTCAGTTATGACAATGTGTCTGTGCAGGTTTCCTTGACCCAGAATGAGCCTCCTCCTGGACTAATATAGCATTCTCAATGTTGAATCTCAATTTAGTTACTTAATCCAGCTCTAAACTCACAAAACTATAGAATGTGAATAGATTGAGGCTGTTTAATAAAATAGACAGTTTTCCCACTGTCCTCGTCCCCTCCACAGTCCCCAAAGTCGATGTCAGCCCCGAGAGCTCGCCCTTCACCAGAGATCTGATCAAGTACCCCTGCAATGCCTTTTCCAAACCACAAGAGGGCCTGAAAGTCAACCGCAGGGCAGCATTCGGGAACACCACCCTGATGTTCACCGACCTCAGCCCGAAGGCGAGCCCCGTCAACTCTCCCCTTCCCCTATCCTCCGCTAACAGTCAGTTAAATTCCACAGCAAGAGGTTTAAATAAACACATCTGCCAGGGAAAAAGAAGTAGTCCCAATTACGCCTCTGGTGGCTGGCAGGACAAAAGTAGGGAGCTCTCCAAAGGGGAATCAACGATGGTCTCCTACAGTCAGCCGCACAAGAAAATGAGAATTGATCATGGTCCCTTTTCCGGCAGTAACGAACCTCAAAACGGAACCCACCCTAATTTGAGGTGAGTGAATGGGGTGCTTTGGTATTCGTAAGTAAAACATTATAACGAGGTAGTTTGTGACTTTTGTGTGGGTAACTGGGATGGAAAAGTATCCTGCTCTCTGTACTTTACAGAATAGTTGATTAATGAACATACTGTACGTGTTGCTCTGCTCAATGAGCCCAGAATGTAGGTCAGGGTGCTAAATAAAATGTTCACTACAACTGTTAATATACTGTATTTTGATTGAAAGAAGTTGAATACTAACAAATACATGCGGAATGGTTTAAAATTCAAAGATGTTATCAAGTGTAGAGATAATTAAACATACTCCAGTTCAATTAACAGCTGATCATTTGACAGCGAATTTCATACCAATTATCTAACAGTAATCATTTTCTCCGCCTGTCAGCCCCCCTCAAAACAAAGCGCCAACTGGGGGTACACAGACCCAGTCCCCTCCCAGCAACCCTTGCTGTGTGTCCCATGGGAGGCCCAGTGTGCTCCGAGTGGTTACCAAGCAGGGAGACAACAAAGGAAGACAGTTCTACACCTGCTCGCTCCCAAGGGAGACACAATGCAAATTCTTTGAGGTAAGAATTATGGGGGAATTGGTCTACATGTCCGTTAGTAGGTAGATATTGTGGCTGTGTTTGTTCGAACATAAAGAAGTACATTTTGAAGACATTGCTAGTTTGTGGAATATGTATTTTCCTCCTGATTCACAGACATAGAAGACTATTAGACTGACCAGGAAAAACTGGTGCCTCAGAATGACCGTATTCTCACTTATTTCCTTAGTGGGCTGATACACACTTTCCATTCTGTAACCATGCAAAACGCTGCCTGATGAGGACTGTACTCAAACTAGGACCAAACAACGGCCGCAACTTTTACGTATGCAGTTTCCCAAAGGGCAAGCAGTGTGATTTCTTCCAGTGGGCAGAAAATGGTCCAGGAATCTCCATCCTTCCTGGTTGCTGATGAGAGGAAAGGGGCAAGATACAAAGACAATCACTGTTTTGTCCATCACTGCTTTTTGTACTGATATTGATCCATTTTGGGGTAGAATAATGTTTTAATTACTCAATGTATCACTGTTAATTTTTTTCTTCATAACTTCATTCTTGTTATCATGAGTTATAATATTAAAATCCATCACTGTCATTAAATAATTGATCGCTTTCAATATAAAACATGGCTCAGTAATTTTAAACGTTATGAACTGCACAGCTTTTTGTATTATGAGTTTATTAATCAAATGTGAACGTTTAAGTAAAAACTATTTCTGTATTTATGAAAACATTCAAACAGTTTAGATTCGAATACATGGCTCATGATACAATCAGTATTGATTAACATAATTGATAGTGGCACTAGGGTACACATTACCTCAAATTAACATCGAATGGTTTTAAAAACAGTCAACTGATTGTAAAAGTGGAGAATTGGTCTGAGAGTTGTACACCACAAAAGGAAATTTGGAGAAGCCAGGAACTTTGTTGCATGCAGCACCTTTAGAAAGAAGACAGAAAAACAGGTAAGCATCACATTTATCATAGTTTTTATCAGTCAAAATTTGACTCACTTATGGCAATTGTAACCATAACTGGGTGAATCTAGAGAACTCACCATAGTGGCCTGTTCTATTGGCACAGATGACAGCCCCAAAGAACCCTGGGTAATGTATCTTGATCCTGGAGATGGATGTCTTACAAGCAGTGGATGGATCTGTTCCTGTCTTCATTAGCTCCACAGCCAGGTAACTGCATTCGGCAACAAATGAAACTCATTTAATTAGTATCTGGTTCTCTGGCATCAAGCAAGTTTAGCTATGATAAGACGTTTGATAATCCTTCAAATATTTAAATGTCAACTGTGACTAAAAAGTCGACCCAAATGTAGACAAAGCAAAAATGTAAGTCTTATCTGGGGTGTAATTCAGTGATGTGAAATGTTCTGAGTGTTGCAGATAGAAGTGTCAGCTCTATTCATTATATTTCTATGATAGACACATATGGTATAGGCAAAATATGATTATCGGAACACTCTTTAACGTTACATCCTTCCGAACAAGCCCCATCTCTGTGCCACAAGCCTGGATGGATACCTAGGTAGGAAGCGCATCATGACATCTCCATCTCCCGTTGCTGCCGCACCCCCTGCAGTACTGTCGGCGTAGGATCCCGCTCCAGCAATGGGAGAGTCCCCTACACGCCTACAGGACAGAACAAGGAGATGTACAGGTATCCTCATTGTCAATATTCATTATATACATATTTTTAAACAACACATGCATACCCTGGGACTTTATGGTTCGCTCCATTGGTTGATGTTCCTGCTGCAACTTGGCCATCTTGACCAATTACTATCATCCCTAATGTCAGGAAAAGTAACACAATATTAAATGTACAATTCTGATCTGAAGATCAAAGCTGACTATAGACTTCTACAAAACAATGAATGAATTTAATGAGCTCTACCAATAGTGTCATGTGCATGTATATCAATCTGTCGTTTTCTCCTCTGCCTCAATGTGGCTCCAGGTTTGTATGGTCCACAGTACTTTGAAGGATCTGGGGAAACATTCTTTTGATATTAAAGTGGAAAGATTAGTCAAAGTCAACAAATTTGGGTTAAGACTGTTCTATCACAGCAGCAATAGATGAATATCACGAATTAGGTTGTTTGTGATTATATCCACAGTTCTGTAAATTGTATTTTTTGTCTTTTAGCAGATGCTCTTATCCATTGTGACTTACAGTAGCAGTAAAGCAAAGAGAAGGCTTCCAATGTAATGAAGATATTTTCTACTTCGACCAGCACACTACCTAAGCATCTTAATCTTTTGGCTATGGTTACCCAGCTCAATAGTAATTTAAGCAGCCGGTAGCCCAATATGCATAAGCATTGTATTGTCTACAGGGCTTTGGTTGTGCCAAGGGTAACAGCATGTTGGGATAAACAATAGTCCCGTTCATACATCCCCTAATGCATTATTCATAACATGGAAGTCCATTTTATTCATTACTTTTTCAAACATGATGGTGATATCCTTAAATGTTTTCAGAACAGTACAAATCAATATGATTATGGAAGCCTGCATGTATCTTCCATACAAGATAATGACAGACCAAAGCTAGAGTAGAAAACACGCACCTTGCGATAATTGGGTTGGCAGTTGTCCTTCAACCACTGTGTGAAAATGCTGATAGATTTGTTGGTTGTCAGGTCTTCTGCAGTGAAGCCCATGTTCTCAGCAAACACTGATGCTGTGTTGAACATGATGGTGGGGTTAAAAAAATAAGAACAATGTAGGGTCAATAGCAGCAAACAGCAATACAATGTACTACTAACTGATAGCTGTATATGATAGAATGGTTAGCTGTAGGAGGCTACTGTATGTTAAAAGATAGGTGATGAGTTACATGCAAAGAGAGTAGAATGTTTTTGCTGCGTCTGTCCCCTTAGCAAATAAAAGCCTATCCTGAATACCTGACTCGCCCACCAGTAGTGTGTGGTCGGTGTGTTCCATCACGGCTCTGGCCACCCCAATGGCATTCTTGATTCTCCGCAGGTCTCCTACAGCACCCACCTCCATTGTATTACTGCATCCATACAAAACCAGGATTTTTTTAAAATGAAGAATACTAATAATATTTCCAAGAAATGCCATGTCCCACTATAACTTCATTGAACCTTGTATTGACTGAAATGGGAGCAACTGATTTTAGACACCCCCAAGCCCTACTCTGATGCCTAGTTAGTGGGTAAGACTTGCCCGTTCATGATCATGGCATCCAGGGTGCTCTCTCCTCTCTCATCTGGGCTCCCTCCAAACCCCACGCTGCCGTCACACTGGTCAGCCTCGCAGCGGGCACAGCCTTTCTCTACGGCATCCAGCACAGAGCCCCCAGCCTGCAGAGCACTCCACGCTTTGAGAGGGAGATAGTCACAGACCGACAGACAAGAGTGTTTGACTTAGTAAGAATATTCCCAGAATGTAGCAGGACTGCAATAGGTTTACACACAAAAATAGACTTGATAAAAAAGTAATGGATGTGCCTCCTGATTCGCCAATTCAATATTAATGGGTCCCAAGAGCATCATTTGAACATAAAATAATATGTTGGTTCCCACCCAACACACAAAATATGTAGTAGAGGCAGAACCTAGAAGCACCCAGTATTTTTCTTTTCCCCCAGTATTTAGACATGATTTCGGTCATGCATTGTCAGAGTGCCAGACAGTGCAGTCCCAATCATGCCAGATAGCATGACCATCTCAAAGGAATAGGCCTAGGCTGCCAAAGAACCATTTGGTCAATGATCCCCCCAGTTGCCAAGGATTAGAACGCCAACTGGTGATATTTCGACAGCTTGGATTGTCCACATCAACTCAGAAAATAAAATCGAAATATTTTAGAGGGATACATTCATCTCTTGGGCTGGCAGGACAGATCTAGCTAACTTCATGAATGTCTTTCTTACAACTTCATCAAATTATACAATGTATCGAAATGGATAACTTCTTTGCTACAATAAAACAAATATGATACAATGTATCGAAATGGATAACTTCTTTGCAACAATAAAAACAAAATTATACAATGTAGTTACCTGCCACTGTAGCATGCTCGAATGGCCATGTGTTAATAACAAGAGGCAATGTTGCATGACCAAATGGCAACAAAAAAATAAAAATAAAACACAGATGCATTTTTACAAAAAAAATTGCAAAAGAAATAGCTTTTAGTTTCAACTTTACAATTTTCGCCCATAACCTCTACAAGCAGTTAAACATTTCACGTGAACATTAGTTTAAGGTCCACAGTATTTCGAAAATATACGAGGCGTTTTGAAATAAGTTTGTTAAAAATAAACCTAACTTTCATGAAGACTAGACGTTCATTTTTTGACTTCCTTGTTTTGGCACATGACTAGTGGGCGGGCTTTTCATTAAAGAGCCAGCGTATCTTTTCAATACAATGCATATGTTGAAATACAGCTTCATGCTCTGCATTGCTTTTCTGCAATTACATGGGACTTAAAGTGAATAATAAAAAAAAACATGTTTGCTGCACTCATCATGCCTACACTTATCTGAAACAGATCACACATGTTAACTCCTTCACAACTGTAGCCTACCAATAAATCTGTGAAATAAAAATGGACTTACTCCATCCATTTAAAATAGGTTCACGATTAATGTGAGTTGCTTGAGATATTGGATTCAAAGTTTTGCTGGAACTGAACACAGTGGATTTAATTTGATCTTCTCATCTCAAACAAAAGAAGACAAAGCACAGGCTTCACAGGGAAAGTAACAAAACAATCAAGTCCAACCTTGAGAAGTGAACCTTAGTAGTGTGTCCTCTTTTACATTATTCATATGGAAAATGCGATTTTCACTGATATTCTATTTGTTGGTTTGTCCTTAAACATGGCATGTCATACCATGATTGTTACAAGGTGTCTGGTAGAGAACAAAGAAGAGCGAGAAAGAGAGTACTATTACTTCTTCTGTGTTATTGATCAAAATTAAAGAGCAGAGGCTAAAAGGATTGCCCTTATAGGATATAACTTCATCAATCACACATGCCCTTTGTGAGGCAATTTCATGATGTCCTTCACAGCTTTTCAATAAACAATGTCACTATAGTTGTGTAGAATAAGCATCACAGCTCAATCCTATGAATAAATGTTACATGCCAGCATAAAAGACGGTGAGAAAGGACAGCACGTGCACATACTGTATCTGAGTCTATAGTCTAAAAATAAGAAATTAAATATTATGAATGCTTATAGCATGTGAAATAATTTGTGTTGTCAGTCAATTAAAATAGGTGATTTTTTTTTTATTCTCCCTATTAGATGAATCCGATACACAGAGATGGTAATCCTGACTTTCGTTGTGTTTTAGGTGTGTTGTGGCCAGAGTGAGCAATAATTAGTCCTCTTGGCAGTCAACTGTTGACTTCTTATGTGACATACATTTTACTTCTGGGGTTTGAAGAGGGCTAATGATGTCATTGTTATTGAATGGTCATGTTAAAGGCATTGGTTAAACATTTGATTAAACTGATTCATCTTTGTTGTTGACTGAACCATTAGTTGATTGGCCTTAATCCATTAATAGCATAAGCTGTATACAGACTATAGCGGTTTATGGTTGAGACACTGAACTTGTCAAATTTGTAAAATTGCAAGGCCTAATAATGTGTTTTATTGCTCTAATACAATAAAAAGGTGTGAAAATCACTAACTCATGAATTTGAGATGGACCTTAAAAGCCACAAGTTATCGAGGTCATGGTGGTGTACAACTGATTTTCATAAAGCTTTTTTTTTTACAACTTCACATGTAAATACCTTTGCAGCATGCACTTTGTAAAGGACCATGGGATCACAATTGAGGTGAGATAGCGTGCGATAATAGCACAAAAGAAAAATCATGATAGGGTTCAGCTCGTGTTATGGGAAACTTGAGAGAAAGAGCTAATTAACTACACTTTTTTATTGAAAGGAACTTTGCAAATAGGTTTAATGTTTCTATTTAAAACATGTTAAATCCTCCCAATTTGTCTCATGACCATAGGGACTAAGTAGAGTTCCATGATTAGCCACTCTTAAGATTATTAAATATAGCTCGGAAGAAACGTTAAGAAAATTCTAAGCAACACCAAAGTCATTTGGTTCCATTTGGAGCAATACTATTGAATCTGAAACAGATGGTAGAGCGTTTTGTCAAGAGACCTGGCTTTGTAACACATGCGCAGTGAAGAGATTCATGGGTAGCGATTAAAGGTCCGATAAAAGACCAGCAGTGTTTCAAAGCAAGCAAATGGGGTAAGACGCCAGCTAGGTAAACAGCGATAGCAGCTGCCCGACCAGAAGAAGAAAAAAACGTTATTTTAAACGGCTGGCATTGGAATAAGCGGGAGCACAACATATCTGCCTTCAAAGGAATTAAAATGCAAATAAACAAAGCATCGATTATTGAAGTATTCCCACAAGAAGTGATATTGCGATTTGTTGAAGGTGAAGTGACGATAATAAGGATGGTAGGCACTTTTCCACATTTTTATCTGTCAAACAATGCCAATAAAATCCTAATTGCAGAGGTAATTACAAAAATGATTAATTCAGAGTTGCCACTTGTTTATTTCAAGTTCAATGGCCAACTCGGCAGTCTCTTTGTTGTATTTTTTTGCAGATTTGGATGGAGTACAGAGAATAATTTCTTGCATTTATGCAAATTACGAATGAAAAGTATTTTCTTTACACGTTTCATTGGAAACTAACTAACATTTGTATCTTTATTTCAGATATACAAGTGAAGAAAAAAGTGAGATGATTTTAAATCAATCAAAACTTAGATCAGTATAAACATTAAGCATATCAATCTGTTTGTATCTTTGTCAACAATGTGTATTTGACACTACCTAGCTTGAAAGTTAACATTTACAATAAGTCAAATATCCATTGCTATATTGCCAAAAGTTGGCCAATTTCTAGCTATTAGAAAAGTGAAGCACTTGCAAAGTGCAAACCAATAGCTTATTTATTCATTTTTGTATCCATCTAGTTAGGTAATGCACTAGCCTCTGTAAAAAAAAAATGAAAGGCAAACTTAAATATAATTTAAGTATATTTAAAAATATATTCTAAAATGGCTAAACTGGGACACCAAGATAATTCTAGCTACACTCATACTTCATACGGCATTAAAACTATAGTTAGAGGATTCTTTAAAAAAAATAATGAGAAACATTTTGTATCATGAGTTGAATATCAAATAGTATTTTATTTGTATTATCAAAGAGTCATTATGAACTTTAATTTGGCACTGTTTTTGAAACAAAACATTTCACTTGAAGACCAGTATAATGTTCCTTTAGGAAAGCACAATAACATCAGTGGATTAGTTGCATTTCTGCTCAGTCAAGCACCCTTTTCAAGACATTTAGGAACCTTAGGTATGGATATTTCCTTGTGCTTTTCAAAGTGATTTGAATGCGTTAAATCCTCCCAAAAGCCTTGCATTCGAGGCTACTCAAGCAGATATCAATGTTTACTTTCGGTTTAAGCATATGTATGTACCCCAAACATTTAACACTCACAATATAGAGATTAAACATTTACAATTACCACTTGTTCAGCTCTGTCAGCAGTTGTGTACAATCCAGTAATCAATTCAGAGACTGGATCAGAGGATGTCGAGAGATATATCATTTAAGACTGTTAATGCTGTGTGTAATGTATTTTGTGCTGTACTCTCCAGTTACATTGACTGCCTCTTGGAATGGCCTCCTGTGTTGTTTCTCAGAGATTGCTGCTGTCACATTCACAACTGGTGAATGTGAACTGCTTAACACTGCAATTGATACAAGGCAGATGCCAAGGTGGACTAGAATGGCTACTTGGAATCTGACAGTGGAAGGACACATATTTAGTGAAGTGAAAGGTAAATTCAGACTAGGGTTGCAAAATTCCAGGAACTTTCGCAAGAACTCCGGAATCTTCCAACCAGGATTGATGAAAAAACATGGAATTTATTGAAAGTTCCTGGAATTTTGCAACCCTAGTTCAGACTATGTGCTGTCTTTTTCTTCTTCTTACTAGAACATTAAGGTACTCAGAGCCAATATCATGCATGCATCAGTAGCTGATTGACCATGAACAAGAATTATTAAAGATTCAGAATGTGTGCTATGAGAATAGGATGTGAAGTATGTTATTTTGGCTCAGACTACAGTATACAGTACATCCAACACAATGTAATGACCTATAGATCCAGTGGATGGATCTATAGATCCTACAATCCCATGACTCTACATGATGAACAATGATCGTAAAATCCTTAGGATCGACATAATTGATTGTTCTACAGAATTGGCTGTTCTTATTTCTCAAAGCATGTGCAATCCAAAATATTAAACAATTGCTATTTTGTTTATTTAATTTGTTTATTTTTGGAAATGCTGCTTGTGAATGAACATTAATGGAAAACATTATTTTGGATGATATGTTGTAGTTTACGCCAGGTTACTTCTTCTAAAGTTTTTCTCCCAAAATCTTCAGTGTACCAGATCAACATTTAGCAAAAGGTGCATCCCAAGACAAATTCAAAGCAGTTTGAAGCTATTTCAAGAAGAGGAAGAGGCATGCCATTGGTAAGTATCACAAAACCTCAGGTATTCCTCTTGAGATTTAAATTCCCCTTCACACACAAGAGAGCAGGAAGAGCCTCTATCCTAGCTTTGGCAACCGTATGAAGTCTCTTGCTTTGCCTTTTCTATTCTCTACTAACTGTGCAGCCGTGATAAGACACACATTGTAGAGGCAGCGGAGACTACCCGGGGTGTTGTGTTAAGCTTTCGATGGAGTCACTGATGAACTGTTTACTCTAAATGGTAATGATGTGCTAGGGGGACACCAATCTTTACAGAAAGCTGTTAGGTGACTAGTGTCAACACAAAAGCCTCTGCCATGCCTGTGTCATGATCCCACTTTAATAAAACAATGAGATAGTAACCCCATGAGAGCAAATAGGTTTGTTTGTGAGACTATTGGCATCAAGTGGTCTGAGTGTTACATTTCCTGTAGCTTGCACTATGGTAGCAAGCAAACATTGTGGATTTAAACACATTTCAGGTAACTGTTCCTATCCTATCTTCAACAGTCCACTGATCTGAAAGAGGTGAAAGTGGAGGGAGGCCACTATTTGAAATTGCAGCCATACATTTTAACCATTCACTCTGTGCCATTGCAAATGCACATAGCTGAGTGAAGTATGTGGGCTATGATCGGCTCAATCTAACAGTGATAGGCCTTTCATATTCAGAAGATATTTCCTAGGAAAATAAAGCAGTATCAATTGAAATCTCTTTATTTTCTCTCCACTGCATTCTTATTTCTTTACCTGTTTTGAA